GACATGGACTGAGCACCTATGTCCTGACTTAGCCTCAAGTGGTCCTCAGTAGAATCTAACAGGTGGACCCTCCTGGGGATCCAGGAAAAACTGCAAACACAGGGAATTCAGTCCATTGTTAACGTTGGCCAGATCACAGACAGTATGAGTTAGGAAATACCAGAATTCACAAAGCAAGAATGTTTCTGTCTTTTTCATAGGCATCTAAAAATGGAATTAGCTACCAAAGAGAAAGAAAGAAACAACCAGATTTTTCAAGAGGAGGAGGAGAGGTTGTAATTCCTCTTTTTTTTTGCGGTACGCAGGCTTCTCACTGTTGTGGCCTCTCCCGTTGCGGAGCACAGGCTCCGGACGCGCAGGCTCAGCGGCCATGGCTCACGGGCCCAGCCGCTCCGCGGCATGTGGGATCTTCCCGGACCGGGGCACGAACCCGTGTCCCCTGCATCGGCAGGCGGACTCTCAACCACTGCGCCACCAGAGAAGCCCCCCTCTTTTTTTTTTCTTACAGATTTTTCTATGGCTAGCAAAACTATGCTCGTCAATCCTTTGGTGTTGACAGCAAAGTATCCCACAGTATCTGCCAGGTAGCTGTTGATCTGTAAATCATCCACCTTCTCCCATACTTATTGCCTCTGGAGGGCCCCTGTGGGGCAGCCTCCTGCTTGAAGCTGAAAGTAATTGCTGATCTTTATAAAGGCAGAGAGAGGCCTGAGGGAAGGAATACTGGACATAGAGACTAGTGGCATTGGAGAAAGGGGAGCTGACTAGTTTGCAAAGTAAACTTTTCCTCAAAAATTCAATTGAAAGCATTCACAAGTCTGCACATCCAGCCTTGTTGGCTGGTCATCTGCGGCAGCAGAGTTCAGATATGATGACAGAGCTATGTGAATCCTGGGTGGAGAGACATTCCCGTGATGTGCCCTGTGGGACCTTCTGCCTTCCTGCTGACAGCATCATCTGTTCCAAAAAAAAAAAAAAAATTGTGCTTCTAATTAAGACTGAAGCTGAGAAATTTTCCTGACAGGGGTGGAAGTTGTAGCATGCATGGCCCATTAGATTTGCATTCTTTGTTCAGTGGGACATAAAGTCACTACTTTATCAACAAATTGAAACACCGAGGATATTCTCTCTCTCTGACTTTCCTACATACAATCATTACACCGCCCCACACGCATGCATGAGACACACACATCCAGTTACTACTTTAGAGTAAGCTCTTTTTTTTCTTTTATAGTTTCAGGTGGAATCAATCAGTCAATCAATTTCTCTGTGTGTCTCTGTCTCTTTCTCTCTTTCTTCAATATTTCCCAGACTTGTGGGGGACTTTCCCTCCAGATTTGGTGGTTTTAAATTCAGGACAACCCTGATAGAATAAAGACTTTTTACCACTAAGGAGATTTGAGAAAAATAGGCCTCTGTCCCTAAAGGAAATAGCGAAAGTTCATTCCTAACAATTTTTTGAATGGGCATTAACTGCTGAAATAAGTGAAATAAGTTGACAGTGTCCCACAGTGGCTAATTTGAAGGGGACAAGAGGTACCTAGAAGTACAGAGTTTGGTGCATTTGGTAAAAATAAAACAGCCTCCTTACTTTATAATGAAAGCTTGTGTTATAGGTTTCTTGCTAAAGTGGAAATGTTGCCAAGGCAATACCTTGGCAATCTTCTACATGGCTGCTTTTTACATTAATCCACACAGGCTTCATGGACGTTAATCTTTATAACACACCTATGCAGTCCAGAAAGGCAGAATATATTGTTTTAGTCTGTTTTTCATGAAGGGAAAGAATAATAGAAAACAAATGTTTCTGGTCTCCACTCGCCTTTCCAGGACACACTATCAATGACCAGACCTGGGATTTTGAAATGGCCTTAGGACCTCAGCCCAGGACTGTGGAGAAAAGAGAGCAGGAGACCTAAAGAGAATGAATGTAACAAGCCAGATCAAGGACGCAGCTGCTGATCAGAGCTGGAAGGTCTGCCACTGAGACAGCGTGGAGGCCAGGGGGCAGAAGCCCAAAAGGAACCAGAGCCAAAATCACAGTTAGCAAAGCTCAGAGCCAAAGCACAAGACAGGAACCAAAGAAGCAATCAACACTGAGCAAGAATGTCCAGTGTCAGCATTCAGAAAGTGCCCTCGTGATCTCCCTTGGTGCAGTAGCGCTTCCTTAGCCCCAGGGTGGGCAGCCCCTCTGGAAAGCAGCCCCTACAGCTGGGCTTGAGGAGTGATTAACCTTGGAGTCAGGGTGAGCTGTTTCAATTTTTACTAGACCTTCCACTATGAGGAGACAGAGACAAGATCTTTATGCCCAAGATATCTCTGGAGTCATAAAGTTCACCAAAGTGGTATCATAGGGGCAAGGCTTGGACTAGGGTGGGCGAGTGAGGTGCCTAGGGTGCCAGCCTTAAGGAAGCATTCACTCATAGTGTCAGACAAGTGCAGGTCACTGAGGCTCAGAGAGGGGAAGGATGCTTACCTGCCCAAGGCTGGGCAGCACTGGCCCTGACACCTGATGGCCTCTGTTTCCCTTTGACACTGGGCCACGAGTCCATTCTGAATCAGAGTCTGGGGACCCCATGGTGTTTCTTGAAACAAAATATATGATTAATATTTAGCTTCTCCCTGGCTTTTAATAATGTAGGATGGATGAAAATAAACTCCTAAATCAATGTATCAAGAAAAATGTTGGCTAACACCATGGTAAAGACATTTTCTCTTATCCATTGGCTGGCCAGGAAGTTCTAAGTACTTTCCCAAGAGTATTTGCTTCAAAAAGAACAGAGAGAAAGTTACTGAGAGACCCCAGCAAATGTTTGCTGAATGAATAGATAATGAATTAGAACTGACAACAGAGAGAATAGGACTCACATGAACCCCATGAAAATATTCAGTATTCTTCCTTTTAGTTCCATCTGGTGATTAACAGGCTTGGTTTATTTTTATATACTAAATTTTTTCAAGCGATGTCTATATTAAGTGCCCAAAAGCTTTTCCTCTGAAACTTATCATTTAAATCACTTTAGTTGACTCTGATCCCAACCAAGTAAGATGTTAAGGAAAGAACAAGAGAAATAGTATAAAACTTTATCCAAGAAGACTTGTTGGTTAATTTTGATTTGGGGTGTTTGTGAAGAGCTCCCTCAAATCCATATTCTAAATCTAAATAGGAGTATCTTCAGTTTTCCAGTCAAGAGTCATTTTCTTTCTTTCTTTTTTTCCACTGGGCTCCACAGATTGGGCTGTCTTCTGTCTGCTTCTGAGGCTGTCATCCATCTCCAGGGTTTATAGTTGCTGACAACGTGCTTTAATAATTCACAAGGAACAGGACCCGTTTTGTGTTCCCCCTTTTTTCAGTTGGCTCAGTGATGCAAAGCAGATTAAAAGCATGCTTTTTGTCAGTGAAGTAAGTCGAGAGGTATCAGAGACACCCTACGAGGAGTAATAACTGAAGGAGTTACTGCTATTAAATGTTTTCCACTAAAGCACAACTGGATAAAACCAGAAATACACTGGGGTCTGCCCGGCACCCTTGAATCCTGCTTGCCTGGTGACTGTACTCAAGAATACCCTGCCTAGCCTCCAAAATGTGGAGTTGATTTATTCCGGCTCTCAAGGTTTAAGGAAGGGAAATCTAAGGACAAAATGAAATTTTAAATTCACTCACTCAATTTATATAACCTGTGGCATTTGTTTGCTAATTATCTTGGTAAGATGTTTAGCAACTATTATGCATTCTTTCCATAACTCTCTTCAAAAGAAGATGCCTTTTATTTCTGCGCGGCTTCAGACAACAGAGCAGGAATGAGAAGGCCACACAGCCATGACTTTCCCTCTTCAGAGAAGGAGCCTCCTGGGGACGTGCCGTTGCTCGTGTGTCTTTAATATTAGATGTAAAAAGTTCTGTGTCAGGCTGAAGTCCCCAGACTGGCCTCATCTCAGAGGAGGCCGGAGCCTGTCAGGGCTCCCATGTCAGGGCTCCCATGTCCTGACTTTGTTGCCTGATTTCTGCTTATTGAAATTCAGCCACCGCAGCAGCAGAAGCTGCCTCCTCCCTGTAACTCGCTCCTATCCCTGTGCAAATAAGACTGTGGCTCAAAGGCTTTGTAAGCCACGAGTTCCAGGGCCAATTTCAATACTCTGGTTCCTCTCTGAAGCCAATAACCAGACCCACACCAGAAGGTGGACACACCCCTCCAGATAAAGGATGGACTTATTTAGGTTCATGCAGAAACCAAAGAGGAAAGAACAGGGTGGATGATACAGTCCTATACTGGCCCTTGCAACTGAGCTGAGGGCTGCTTTGTGGAGCCTGGCTGACTACCTCAGCTGCTCGTGTCCACATAGCACGCCCTCTGCACGACCTCGGCATGCCTTGCATCTTCAGTTTGATTTTGGCATTAGTGGTTTTCATAGATTTTTCTCCCTCATATTTTCCACATATCTCATATCATTATTAAAAGTGTATTTTGGATAGACTGGTCCTAGCCATTGAGTAAAAAATTCTGCTTTTGAAAAGTATATTTGTAATGGAATATTGCAAGGCTCACGATCTGGAAATCAGCTGACATCTGCTATGTCCTTATATGTCAATACACATAAATGTACACAGATATACAGATAGATAGTTCTACACATAAAATATTAACTATATTTACATGCGGTTTTCTTTAGGTAAGTAAATACAAAACTTAACCTCAGTTCCACTTGGCTTTTGGCAAGAAGTTGGCACCTAGTTTTTCATCCAATTGGCAAATGCACATAATTAATAAATGAGTTTAAAGGATACAATTTTTCCTTTTGTTTTCTTTAAAATGCAATTTGAGATTGGAGTAAAACAGAATAAAGATCAATGGAGGCCCAAAACCTTACAAAAACTTTAATAAGATAGGCCTGTGGTAGCTGGAACCATAGCCCTTGAGGTCCACACTGATCCAGAAATTCCAGTCATCAAAACCTGACTTTTTTTTTTTTTTTTTTTGCTTCTCCATCATATTCTGAAGCTTGTGGTAGCCCTAAAAGGGTTGCCAGTTCACTCTTACAACTTTGCCCCAGGCTGAGGAAAGAACTGACTCCAAAATGTGTTCTGACAATGACATCGTCACAAAGGTGAGTCTTCTTGGTGTTAAAACTATCATGGCTGCAGATACAGGGGATGTGCTCTTAGGCTTCACTGCAGGGATGCTGGGAGCAACCCGCTTCCCCAGGTGGATGCCACACAGACACCAAAACGCAGGAGTGGGTACATGACTGTGAGATGCACTGGTCCTTTCACATACTGCACCATCAGAGACTCTGGCTCAGCAGAGCACTGGAATGGTACATTCAAGGCATAGCTGAGGCAGCAGCTTTGAGATTAGGGTAAGGAAGTGGGGGTCATCATCTAGGGTGCACTGTGTACTTGATATCAATGAATATTATACGGTGTGACATCCTCAGTAGGTAGCATACATACTTTCAGGGGTTAGGGGTCAGGGCAGGAATGGCCCTGCTTACCATCACTCTGTTACCTGCTTGGAGAATTTCTCTTCCTCTCCTTGTTTCTCTGGGTTCTGTCCTGGTTCCCTCTGGTCCTTCCACCAGAGGACACAGAGTCCTATTAAACTATAATCGACAGCTCGGCACTTTGGGTTCCTTGTGCCAAGGGACCAACAGGCAAGAAGGGGGTGACTCGTGGCATCAGGAGGAGGTTGGGAGACTGTCATACAGCGGAAGCAGGGAAGAATATATTTGGCACCCAAGTGATTTTTTTTAGGTGCCTCTTGGTACTACTTTGCCCAGTGTTGACAGTAATAGGCAAGTTTAGAAACCTTAGTCAGAGAAGGACATGGTGACTGGGAGCTCAGACCCCTCTGGTCAGGTTCATGCCACCAGGTAAGACACCCAGACCTGTGGAGATGCTAGGTGAGGTTGAGGAGAATATAGAATGGAGGTGGAGGAGGAGACAACGCATTTCACTTGTGATCCCAAGACTGGCTGCTCAGCTGGGGCTGTGTTTCTTGCCACTAAACCTCAGTAAGTTTACCTGAGGAAGAATACACCACAAAGCTGCCTCCAGAATGTATACAGAGCCGTGGATTCAAAGGGTAGACTCGTGAACTCCGTGAAGTGCTACCTAGACCCTCATTCAGTACCAAAAAACTTGCTCCCCAAGCTGCTGGGAGTGCTGCAGACAGATAGCTTTTGCTGTCAGCTTACTTTGGGAATTGTCTCAACTGAAGAGAGCCCCTGGCATCCAGGAACTGGTTGACCTGGGGATGTCAAACTTGTTGCCTCTTGCTAAAATGGTATATCTCTATATCTTGCAGCTTCGGAACTCAACTGTGCGGTTTGCTGAGGTTTTTGTTAAGACTGCAGTGGTAGCCCAACATCTCCCTTCATCCACTCCTCTTATTTTCCTTCTTTCCTCAGGTGTTGATCAAGAGAACCTCTAATAAACTTCCTACATGCAAACCACTCCTCAGTCTCTGGATCCTGGGGAGCCTAACTTGCAGCAGTGTTAGGAAAAAAATGAAACAGGGAAATGGAATAAATATCAGATATCAGGAGGGGCTGCCTAGTTAAGATGGTCAGGTAGGACTCCTCCAAGAAGTTGATATTTGAGCTGACGTGTGAATGATGAGAAGGGGCACAGAAAGATCTGGGGGGAGTAGCCTCCCAGACAGAGGAAAGTATGAAGACCCTGAGGGGAGAATGAGTTGGACGTGTTCCAGAAAAAAAGGAAGGCCAGTGTTAGAAGTGATAAATGAAAAACAGGCCGGTAGAAAAAGCTGCTGGATCATGGAGTTTGAACTTTATTCTAAATACGATAAGTAGTTATTAACAATACTTTAAAATATGACTCTGACTTCCGTGTAGTGAGTGACTTGCAGGTGTTGAAAGCAGAATCGGGATGAACGGTGGGTTATAAGGTCACCCAGGAAAGAAATGGGGTGTTTTGGATGAGGGTGGTGATGGTGGAGTGTGATTGATTTTTGCTATGTATTTTGGAGGTGAATCTAAAAGAAGCTGTGATGGGTTACATGCAGGACAATGAAAAATGAATAATTAAAGATGACCCCTAGGATAGGCCTGAGCAACGGGGGCCTCGTCACTAATTGGGATCTGAAAGACTAGCAGAGGAGAATGTTTGAAAGGAGAAATCTAAAGCAACCTGAAGATGGGGTACAAAGTTCCCAGAGAAAAGAACAGACTCAAAGTTTATATTACCCAATTAAGTAGTGAATTCAACTTTGTCAATCTTTTCCATCCTTCTGTGCTTCAGTTTCTTAGTTTTCCAGTCTTTCCTAGGCAGTTATGAGATTTTGTAGGCCTCAATCTATAATTCTGTGTAAACTGGTTTAAGTTTCTCAGAGATTTTGCATTTTCAGCCACCTCCCAAGTGACACTGATGCTGTGGTCAGAGGACATTTTGAGCATCAAGGTTCCAGTTAGACAGACCACCCAGTTTTGAATTATTTCCCAGTCAATTATTAGTTGTATAATATTGGGGAAGTTTAAATCTTCTCTGAACTTTCATTTCTTTAAAAATAGGAACAATATACCTACTTCATAATGTTACTGAGAGAATTAAATGATGTCATGTCTGTAGAGCATAAAGCAAGCAACCCAGCTCCTCACTCACAACAGCGTTCACTAATTTAGTCTCCCTCCCACTCCGTCTCAAAAAGGGTGTCTATTCGTCTATTCACAAATTATATTAGAATTAAAAAAAAATCATTATAAGGCTATTGGCATTCAGAGAATTAAGATGTGTGGTTTTGACTACAGCTAAGTAACGCCAGTGGTCCACAGAATGTAGTCTTTTGAATTTTGCTGAACTACATATTTAAGTCCTATACACTGAGGTGACGGTCATTGGCAGTAGTGAGTCACTTTCCTGGGGTGAAACCTATCCAAGGTCAAGCATCCTCATCTCAGACCAACTTTATGGTTCTTAGCTCATCGTCCCATCCATGCACCTTTTGTGAAGCAAGAAAATCTCTGTATTTTATGGAAAATGCCCCTGCTAAACAAAGGCACAAACAGAAAAAAACAAACAATTCGAACCAACCAGTGAAGAGTGTTGGCATGAAAGTGAGGAGAAAGCTAAGAAATCTAGGAAAAAGATGATGCTTATACAGCAAATTAGGAGTTTGGGATAAATTATGGAGTGGGAATGCCACACTGGCGGTGGTTTGGATTCACGATATGAGTGCTTTTACCATGTGCCCCATAAGGAAATAAGGAAAGGTAATTCACACACTATTTCAATAAATTTTCCAGACAGAATTCATACTATTTGCTTTATAAATGAGTCTACTCCTCTATTTATAGAATTATGAAGGTCTTAAGGGGTCAGTTAAAAGTTTTTAATGATGCTTGACTGAACTTTATGGAAAAAATTCTATGCTACAATGGTATCTGTGATTTGGGGAATTTGTAAATTGTAAGGTGGAAATTGTTAACCATCGGATTGGTAATCACATTGTAAAGAGAGAATTGGCATCTTTAATTTCTTGATTTACAATAAGACCATGGTGTTTGTCAATAGATATTCAGCACCATGTACACAAAGTACAGGAGCAAATAAGACATGGATACTGCCCTCTTTTGAGGAAGGGAAAACACTGGCTCCATGATGCAAATATAACCCTGAAAATTAGGAGGGTAAATTGTCTTGGGGAAAGAATACTGGGATCTATGACTGGCAGATGCTCATAACATAGGTGCATTTAAAACAGCTGTTAATCCCCTGGTAATCAAAGAGACAAAAGGGAGATATAATTTATTATGATACTAAAGCACTGAGCTAGCTCTAAGAAATCTGACACATCCTAGAAGTGATCAGCAAATCTCAACACTTCTGCTTTCTGTCAAGTCACTTAACTTTGACTGGATACTCTCTGTGGTAGCTAGGGCTAAAACACGCCTAAAGATAGATATAGTTCCACAAAAAAATAATTTCTATATTATAAAAAAAGAAAAACCAGCATAAAAAAAGAAAAACCAGCATTCTCACTTTCACAAGGCTCCGATCAGTCTCAACACCATGGTGTTCCTTTCATTTGAACCTTGTAATCCTTGTAGGATGGGTGATCCCACATTCCATGGTTGTTTGAAGAGTCTTGAGTTGAATTCTGTGGACATGTTGGTCTGTGTTGCAGAAAGACTGGTATTTCCTAGGTCAGGTTAAAGGGAGTGAACCACAGGATTGATTAAAATTCCATTGGGCACTAATTCCTTTGTATTATCTTCTGGAATCCTCACTTAAAATGCAGATGCTCTAGGGAGGGTAATACATTAAAGAGCATTAAGGAGTAACACTATCAAGAGAGCTGCCAAGGTCAATTTCCATCCTAATAACGTCCACAGCATGTCACTCATTCTTAGAAGGCCGTTCAAGACTTTTTCAAGAATTCACTTGAAAGTCTTATCAGAGAGCTCCTGGTCTCCTGAGTGGAGATAGGCTAACCATTTGTATTGCCCCAGTGAAATGGGAGGAATAAATATAGTATGGCATACAAGCAGTCTTAATCAAAGGGGGGAAATAAACTCTTGTGAGTGTCTCCCGTTTCCCGGGCTGTGTCCTATGAGCTTTGGGTATGGCATCTCACCAAATCCTTTCTCCAGTGTCATTATGCTCTTATTTCTATCACCGTTTTATGGATGGGAAACTGAGGCTATGGGAGGTTAAGTAGCTGCCATGAGGAGCTGATCTTGGAGTCAAGGTTGCCCTATCTCCTTTCAAAGCTCATTAACCCAGGAAAAGAGATCTTACCTAGGAAATTTGGTCTAAGGCATTTTGGTTCTCTCCCTCACCACCCAGGTCCATATAATTCTGACTTGTACAGAGGCTTTTCAAGAGAAGCAAAGTCCAGGATAAAAGGTTAACATGTTAAGTATTATGAGACTTATTATTGAGCAGGACTGGAGTAGCAATGGAAGGAAGGCTATTTCCCATGTCCTATTTGGAAGAAATGCCTCATTTCTTTATTTTTAGAATGTTTAGAAAATTATTCTGTGACAAAGCTAAACATAATCTTACCATATGATCCAGCCATCGTGCTCCTAAATGAGCCAAAACTTAGGTCCACATGAAACATTGTGCACACATTTTTACAGCTGCTTTGTTCAAAACTGCCAAAATTGGAAGCAACCAAGATGTAATTCAATAGGTGAATGGATAAACAAATTGTGGTACATTCAGACAATGGAAAATTATTTAGTGATAAAAAGAAATGAGCTAGTGAAAAAGACATGGAGGAAACTTAGCACATATGGCAAATGAAAGAAGCCAGTCTGAAAGGCTACATACTATATGATTCTCACTATATGACATTCTGGAAAACAACTTTAAACAGAGTAGAAATATCGGAGGTTGCCAGGGGTTCAGTGGGGTTGGTGGTGTGGTGGAGGGAGCTGAACAATTGGCACACAAATTATTTTTAGGGCAGGGAACTATTCTGTATAATACTATAATGGTGGATACATGACTACGCATTTGTCAAAACCACAGAACGGTAGAACACGAAGAATGAACCCTGATGTAAACTATGGACTTTAGTTAATAATAATGTGTCAGTATTGGTCCATCGATTGTACGCACCAATGTAAGATGTTAGTAATAGGGAAACTGTGGGCAAAATGTGGGGTATCTTGGAAAGAGAGTATAAGGGAACTCTCTGTACTTTCTGTTCCATTTTTCTATAAACCTAAAACTGCTCTAAAAAGTACATTAATTTAGAAAAATCATTCTAAGTCTAGACAATAATATTGTACTATAATTATGTGATGTGATAAATAGTGCTACAATGGCAATCATATTACAATACAAAAGTGTATCAAAGAACATGTTGTACATCTTAAGTTTATACAGTGTTATGTGCCAAATATATTCAATTAAAAAAATCATTCCAGGACTTCCCTCGTGGTCCAGTAGTTAAGACTCTGTGCTTCCAATGCAGGGGGAGTTGTTGGGGAACTAAGATCCCACATACTGTGTGGCATGGCCAAAAACTTTTTTAAAAATTCAAATATTTAAAAACAAAACTTCAGGTGGATACAGTCTATGGACCACCACTTTGTGATCTCTACTGAAAATGTTTAGCTTGGTTTCCAGCACTCAATAAATGCTAGTGTTCAACAAATTAAAAAAAAAAAAAAGAAAGTAAAAAATAAAAATATAAAAATTCCAGAACTATTCCATTCTTCAAATGTCTTATTAAACTATAACAGATATAGGTAGAGAGTAAAGAAGGAATAAGAATAGTGTAAAGGAAAGGAAGAGGCGGAAAAAATATGAGAATTATAATAAGCTAAAAAATTTGTGCCAGCAGAGGGAAAAAAAGGAGATTAGAAATTTACAGAGCCATCTCTTCGTAGTCTCTTTTCTTCTTTTCTTCCTTTGTTCTTTTCTGGGTAGAAAGACTTCAGCAAGCTTAGAATGTGGAATACGATGACAGCATGCA